TATACGTCAACGAGTTGTGAATAAATATGCATACGCCTCCGCCAATACCGTTTTTTCTTGGTTGGTGAACAGACTTGTAATGTGTTAAATGCAAATTAGAGTTACTCATATCTTCACTCTGACACCAGGTTTCTGTAAGACAGATTATACTGAATTTAATACTTATATTATTTAGCATTAATTTTAGATTTTCAAAATTTTTGCTCATGCTTCTAATATTTATATTTAATAATGATATGTAATGTAGTGATTTATTTAAAATACTTGTAACCTCATGAACTTTAAAATAGTTAGTTTCTAATGAATAATTGTCAAGAATGTTTACGTCAGGATCAATGTTCTTTGAAAAGTGATGTACGTTTTCACCAGAAAATGTTTTAAAAAGATTATAATTAATTGTTTCCACCATTTATAAAGACAAGAAAAAAATAAAATAAAAATTAAAAAAAGTTAAATAAATAAAACTGCATTACTTTTACTTTGGAACATTGATTGAGTATTTTACCGCGTTTTTTAAATGAATCCTTTTGTCATACCTCACTGCAAGGTTTTCTCCCTTTAGACGTCGTTCTTTAACTTCTGCAAACAACTTTTTCCTAATATCAACTGTCATTTTAGAGAAATCTTCGTTGACATATATATTTGATCCTTTTAATCTATTCGTTTCTTTCAATATTTTCATTTTATCTTTATAACTTTTTAATTTCATCACGATTGATCTTGTACGATTATCTTTTTTAATTCCAGTACGATGTGCACATTCAATGTCGATTCCCAACAAACCTAGATTTTTTTCAAGAAATATTTTTACTTTTTTCTTCCGTTTGTGTCCAAGTTTCTTTATCATTTTCCGGTAACCCATCGATTCTTAAGTTAACTAGAAAATTATAAAGTCTATTGTGCATTATGCGCTCAAATTATTTTGAAAAACAGGGTATAATAGAATTGGGTCTATAATTAGAAGCCATAGATTCGTCCCCGCTTTTAAATACAGAAACAACTTTAGCCATCTTAAGCTGTTCACGAAATATCCCGTGATTTAAAGACATGTTTTAAATATGCAGAAGGAGATGTTCAATAATATCGTAGACACTTCGCGCTGATGTCGTCAAGCCCTGGGCTTTTATTTGATTGTAGGGAATTAAAGGCGTCTTGAAGCACATTGGGAGTTATTTTATCCACTTCCAATACGAGATTTTTTTTTCTAAATATGATTTAAAACTTGTTTTTCCAGAAGTTACTTTGTCAGCAAGTTTTTCTTAATTTTTTTAAGAAGCTGTTAAATTTTTCAGCAATGTCTATAGATTTGGAGGCTGCAATATCATTTTAATGTGTTCTTAAGTATTTTGGTAAAGTTTTAGTTGTATCTTTTTTTATTCCTATAACCTCTTTTATTTTTTAACCTCCTTTATTATGCTCTATGTTTTTTGAGTGTTACCGATATTATTTTCTAATAAATTGAAATAATTTTTTTTGATTGTTTTTTTAAAGTTTCAAATAAATTTTTATATTGTTTATATGTTTTTTCATTTTTATAGATCTTTTTTTTCAGAAACTTTTCATAGAGTTTTTGTTTTTTTTAGAAGATTTGATAAGCCCATTTGTCATACAAGGACTTTGTAAGCTTTTGAGCGTAGTTTTCCGTTCAATCTTTGGAAACACTATTTCGTACAGTCTTACGAATGTGTGTGTTTTTTTTTATTTTTTTTATTTTTATTTTGTTTATTTGTTTACATTTGACGTAATATATATAAATTACATATTTTTCAAATACAAACAAGGCTTCTAAAAGAAGATCACAATGGTCTTATCGTCAGAAGCCTTTTACAAAAGAAAGTACGAAACATATTATAAAAACGCCTTTTTACAATAAAAGTACGTAAAAAATCATATAAAAACAATAAATCGTATTTACATAAATGAAAATAAATTGTAAACAAGTATAAAACAAAACTTGAACATACATGACAATAAAGTTTATTATTATTATGTTTTTTATCACAAGATAAATTAAAAATATTCTAAGATATTTTCAATAAAAAGAATGTGGTCTTTTTAATTTATTTTTAAAAACAGGATAAGTTAGGGGTAAGTCAAAGTTAGGCAAAATAATTTTATTCCAGAGATGAGCTGCACGATAAGTGATACAAAATTGATTGAATTTTGTTCGACAGAATGGTTCATTTAAACAGTTATTGTTCGTCATGTTAAATTTTCTTAATGGTTTCAAAATAAAAAGATCTTTAAAAATTAATGGAGATATATCATGCTTCCACATATAGACAAAAAATAAAATTTTTTAAACGTTTAGTTTATATATATCTAGGAATGTGCGAACCGATCCGCAGAATTAATTAAACGGATCGCATGTTTCTTACGGCGATAGAGGCATTGTAACTTGCTTTGATCAGTGCTACCCCAGGCAATAACTCCATAACTTATATAACTGTGGATAAAAGAGTAATAAAGTTTAGTTAATTTATTTTCATGTAAATGAGTACGCGCCTTATATAAAATTCCGATACTTTTTGAAGCTTTCGAGCAAACATAGTTAATATGATGTTTTCATGTGATGTTCTCGTCAATGAAAACCCCCAGGTATTTAGTTACAGAATCTCTTTTAATTTCAATATCGTCAATAAAAAATTTTGGTAGATTTGGAGGTAGAAAACGTTTTTTGGAGAGCGGGTGGAAAAAAACCCATTTTGTTTTGGTTATACTTAATGTCAATTTGTTACTTTTAAACCATTTAGATATGTTTTGAAGTTCTTTGTTCATCATGGAGAAAAGTAGATAGATGTCACTGTTAGAGAGAAATAAGTTTTTGTCATCAGCAAACATAATACTTAGAAGATTTGATGCTTTTTGCAAGTCGTTGATATATATTAGAAACAAAAGAGGACCTAAGATGGAACCTTGCGGAACATTTAAAGATATCGTAAGATAAAGTATCGTAAATAACGTAAAGATATCGTATCGTATCGTATCATATCGTATCGTATCGTAAAGATATCGTAACGTAATTGCGGAACGTTTAAAGATATCGTAAGCCGTATTTGTGTTTTTGTAATTCATAATCTGATCCCAGTTTTCTTTTAATAAGTCGCTTCGTAACTATTTTACATTTATTTGTCTTTTAATTACAGTTATTGTTTCTTTTTCTTTTTGATTGTTGAAATGGTTAAACGAAAAAATAATTGGAAAGTGGTCACTTATGTCAGATCTTATTATTACGCTTTGAATGTTGTACTTTATAGAATTGTTTGTAAAGATGTTATTGATAAGGGTTGCGGTTTGTCGAGTTACACGTGTCGGCTTATTTATTAAAAGTACAATGTAGCACTGAAGGAGGTTATTAAGAAATCGTTCGGTAGTATTAAGTTTTATTTTTAAAAGATCCAGATTAAAGTCTCCCATTACGTATATTTGCTTGTGTTTAGTTAGTTTTACATAATGAGTTAAGTGCTTTTCAAAAAATTTTATATTGACACCAGGCAGTGGCGGATTAAAGACTTCTTGGGGCCCTGGGCTATATTTGTTTTTGGAGGTCTTTTTATGGGCCAGAGCCTAAAAATGAATAATAATAAAAAAAGGTCCCCGGGGCTATAGCCGCCCCTTGATCCAACACTGCCACCAGGTGGTGTATATATTGACGTTATAAACGCGTTTGTTTCATCTTGGTTTATCAATTCAACCGTAAAAAGTTCGCAGTTTGCGTTTAGTACACTCAAGTGTTCTACGTTTTTGAATTGAAAACTTGAGTTTAAGATACCATCGTCTCTACATCATGTTTCTATAAGACATATTACCTTTAATTTGTTATTCATATCATGCAGCATTGCTTTGAAGTTTTCAAAATTTTTACCCATGCTGCTTATGTTTAACGTCAGCGCTAAGAAAGCAGATTGTGACGCTTTTATAAAACAAGATGCTTCCTCATGCTGTGTATGTTTAACGTCAGCGCTGAGAAAGCAGATTGTGCCGCTTTTATAAAACAAGATGCTTCCTCATATTGCGTATGTTTAACGTCAGCGCTGAGAAAGCAGATTGTGACGCTTTTATAAAACAAGTTGCTTCCTCATGCTGTGTATGTTTAACGTCAGCGCTGAGAAAGCAGATTGTGCCGCTTTTATAAAACAAGATGCTTCCTCATGCTGCGTATGTTTAACGTCAGCGCTAAGAAAGCAGATTGTGACGCTTTTATAAAACAAGTTGCTTCCTCATGCTGTGTATGTTTAACGTCAGCGCTGAGAAAGCAGATTGTGACGCTTTTATAAAACAAGATGCTTCCTCATGCTGCTTATGTTTAACGTCAGCGCTGAGATAGCAGATTGTGACGCTTTTATAAAACAAGTTGCTTCCTCATGCTGCGTATGTTTAACGTCAGCGCTAAGAAAGCAGATTGTGACGCTTTTATAAAACAAGATGCTTCCTCATGCTGCGTATGTTTAACGTCAGCGCTAAGAAAGCAGATTGTGACGCTTTTATAAAACAAGATGCTTCCTCATGCTGCGTATGTTTAACGTCAACGCTGAGAAAGCAGATTGTGACGCTTTTATAAAACAAGTTGCTTCCTCATGCTGTGTATGTTTAACGTCAGCGCTAAGAAAGCAGATTGTGACGCTTTTATAAAACAAGATGCTTTCTCATGCTGCGTATGTTTAACGTCAGCGCTGAGAAAGCAGATTGCTTTTATAAAACAGACGCTTTTATAAAACAAGTTGCTTCCTTAATACTATAATAATTAGAGTTTAATTTTATGTTTTCAAAAATATTTATGTCCGGGTTGTTAGTACTATTCAGTTGAAGTTTTCATTATTAAAATTTTCAGTTTTTTTGTCTGTCGATGCCATAATAAATATTTACAACCGAAAAATAAAAATATAAAAAAAACTTAATAACAATAAAAAAAGTTACTTTTTTTGAATATTGTTAAATTTAAAAATTTTGTCATACCTGACAATTTGAATATTTTTGAATATTTTTTTATTTGCACTTACGTTATCAACAAAAACTTTCTCCTGAAGTTTCAGCAATATTTCCATTTCTTTTTTATATTCATTAAGCATTACCGTAAGCATATCCTTTATTTCTTTTAACGTAACTGCCATGTTCAATTTTATAAGTATATGCAGATAAGATATTTCAAATTTGATATATAATTTTTTTAAATTATACTGAAAGTGAGAAAAACATTTAGCCAACGTAAAATACAATGCTGTTCCAACTAAAAAATACAATGTTGTCAGTTTAAGTTAACTCATAACATAAGGTTATCGTAAACTTGCAACATCGTTCAAACGTTTTACCAACGTATGTGTGTTAGCTGAAAAAAGGATCCTTTAGATAATTTGTTTATATAAACAGAATTAATTAAAATTATCTAAGAACCTTTTAATTGCAAGAATTACCCGCAATAACTTTAAGGTGGTAGACTGCTAAAAAAGTTAGAAAATATCGATTTTTCAAAAGTGGCATTGTTTTAAACAGTAACTGATGTAGAGTCTAAAAATATATAGATCTTCGTATGAGAAAAAAAAATTAGAACTAATAAAAGTGGTTTATATTAGTAGGGTATTTTTGTTTCCCCTAGCTTTTTTCTCTGTTTTATTCTTCTAATTTTCTGGCAAAGATTGCAGGAGCTGTAATTGTCCAATTGACTTAAAATTTTGTACAGAGATTCATTATAATAAGCTTTATGCCCTGAGATAAAAAAAAATTTAGAATATAAACTTTTAAAACAACAAACTTTTTGTTCTTAATATCAGAAATTCGATTATTAATTGGGTGCTTTGCAAAAATCTAACGATGCTTTAAAATAAAGAAATTTTCAACAAATATTTTTATCTCAGGACATTTATCTACATAAAACAAATAAAAATACAAAAAATTAGAACTTAATAAATTATACTTTTTGAGATATCTTTGCCAAGATTTTAGCCTGTTTTTGGCCTAAAATCACCTGTTTTTGCTCAAAATATATATGAAAAAAAAAAAAAAAAAAAAATTATGAATTTTCTAATGTATTTATCATGTTCGAAGTAAAAAAATTTATTGAAATATTGTAAAATACAAAAATAATTTTTTTTAGCAGCCTACCACCTTAAGAGCTATTGTTAACAAAAAATAACAAGAATTTACCAGATAAAATAATAGATTTTTTTACTTATGATAATAAAATTGAATATACAATATATAGACTGACCTTTTTTCCATAAACTTTTGTTTTTCAACCTCTTTAACCTTTTTTTAATCTTTTACAGATAAATCTTTTTTCTCAATGGTTTCTTTTATTTTTTCAGTAGTTTAATGTTTTATGTTAAAAATCTTTAATAAACAAATTTTGCACAAAAACTCCACAAAAAATAATATGGGTATAATCTTGCTGGCTACTAACCCCATGCATTTAAAAAATATACGAAAGTCCGTCGCACCTTCTTCACATGATGGTTTTTTAACAAAACCATCATGTGAAGAATGGGTTTAATATTTTTATAATTGGGAATTAAAATATTTTATAAAATATTAAATAAAATAATAATTTATAATATGTTACAATATTTTATAATATGTTAAATAAAAAAATTGCATTCAAAATTAATTTATTAGATCATTGTTTGAAATTCTTTTTGAGATAAAAACTTTTCTAAAGAATTTCTTACTTCGATAGACTTATAATAAAAGTCTTTTGTAAAATCATTTAATAAATCAACATTTATAATTTCCCCCAGAGAGTTTTTTAATTTTTCAGTATTGAATTGTAAAGACAATTCACAAAACGGTCTTGATAACTGCAATTCATATCCAAAAAAAGAATGTCCATATGAAATATAAGCGTCGATTGATCCGTTTGACATTACTTTACTTAGTTCAACATGTCTCACGCCATTAACAAACGTTTTTCCACCAAACAAAGTTAACCTAGGTTTTCCATCTTTGAGACTAATCGGAAGTGTACGAACCCCATTAATAGTAGGGTACACAGCATTATAAAGCTCAGAGTCCGCATTAATTGGGTCTTGAGATGCAATTGTTAACCGGATATCTGGATTTGTTTGTATTTGCTCTAAAAATGTTTGTCTTTTGCATGAAATAAATGTGGCATGTACCCAATGTAAAGGCCGCTCTGCTATTTCCAACACTTCAAGTCTGTCACTTAGTTTCATAACTACTTCATAACTGGAACTTGGGTTTAAAGAAACTTTCCAAGGAGAAAACAGTCGCGAAGATGAAGATTGCTTTTGAAATCCACATTCCAAAAGAACTTTTTCGTAAACTGTTAGAAGTTTCCGTTTCGCACTTTCATCGCTGGTATTACACTGGAGCAAACTAGGAGTAAAAGCTGATGGAATTCCAGTATACCTTTGTTTTTTGTTTTTTTTTATTCTCATTGCAATGTTCTCAGAAAATGTTGTCGTTCCGGTAGCAGGTTTTAAATTTATCATTTGAAATCTATAAAAAAAAAATATATATCGTTTCATAATAAAAAACCTGTTATACAGAATGTCATAAATAGAATTTAAATATAAACAGTAAGATACCTCCACATTTGAAGAGTAAGGTACCTCCACTGTTGAACAGTTAGATACCGCTAACGTTAAACAGTAAGATACCTATACTATTGTGTAATAGTATGTTTAATAGTTTGAGTAGTATATTTATATTATTAAAGAGTGTAAATTGTTTATTATTAAAAATTGTAATTTTTTGAACGTCATGTCAAATAGCAAATTTATTTATTTACTTATGAACTTGCGTCAGTACAAACTAGATTTTGCGTAAGAGCGAATTTATCTTAAAACTTGCATCAAATAACAGAAACTGTCCTAAAGTTTGCATTAAGCGCAAACTACTGTCCGCTGTACTATTTAATAAGTGTTATTAAATAAACATTAAATGCTGTTGGAATAATTAATTGCAGGGTCAATGCAGCATTTTTTGATGTTAGAAATTGCTTCCAGACATGGAGCAAACTTCAAACATTTATATTTTATACTTGTCAAATAAGGATGCTTTGCACTAAACCCTAAAATTTTGGACACAACTGCCACAAACGTGAGAGCAACAACTTGATAAAATATACTTTTTATTATTTTTAACTAAATTTATATTCATCAATAAACTTTAAATTTCATGCAATAATCTCTTAGCGTTCAAAATCTATGACTTAATAAAATTTGTAACCCCCTAAAATTGAGGGGTTTTTAAGGTTACAACATAATATAAAAAAACATCAAAAAATGCATCCACCCCACAATTGAATCATTATTCGTAGTAGAGATTTTAAAGTAATACAGCATTTTAAAGTATAACTTTAAAATCTCTACTAAGGTTTCTACCTGGGTAAATCTGCACAAGCACAGACTGTCGTGAGTGTCATATATTTGTACTTATGCTAACTCGCATTTTACTTGAGTAAATGCGAACTTGCATAAACGAAAATCTGCGTAAGTGCTAGCTTGTTGCAGAAAATTATCAGAGCGTGAATCTGTATAATTACATCGAGCTATTTTGCAAGACTGGAGACTTAGACGCTAATTTGCGTAACTGCGTAATTATCAAGCCAACCAGAGTAACTAAAAATTCTTCTACCTTAGTCGATAATATAATATAATTAAGACAGACCTTTCAGATCATTTTCCCACCTTCTTAACTACTAAAAACATAGCACCAAACAATACCTCTCCCAAACCTCCTTTATACAAACGAGAGATCAATGAAAACTCCTTACAAAAATTTAAAAGTTTACTAAAAAACAATGTTGATTCGGATCTTATATTGCAATCAAGCGATGCGAACAACGCCAACGAACTTTTTCTAGGTCAATTTTGTAAATATTATGAAAAAGCGTTTCCAGTTAAAACTGTTGTTATAAACAAAAAGTCACTTCTAACTCCTTGGATGTCTAAAGGTTTAATCAAATCCTCAAGAAAAAAACAAAAACTCTACGACAAATTCCTAAAAAAGAAAACTTATAAAAATGAAATAGCTTATAAAAATTATTAAAACTTGTTTGAAAAAACAAAACAATACTCAAAAAAGCTTTATTATTCAAATTTGTTAAAAAAACACCATGGCAATGCTAAGAAAACATGGAATTTGATTAAAGAGATAATGGGTAATAATAACTGTACAAAAAGCAATCTCCCGAAAAAGCTTTTAATTGATGGTAACTTAGTGATAAGATAATAATAGCTGAATATCTAAATAGCTTTTTTCTTAATGTGGGTCACAATTTAGCAGCAGAAATTCCGTCGAGTTCTGCAACATTTCATTCTTACTTGATTAAGAACCTTACCACAGAAAAGATTATGAAAGAAACATATCTAGATTCTAATGAATTGCGATCCGCTTTAAACAATCTAAAAAACAACAAAAGTGCGGGCTTTGATAGTATCAGTAGCTTTGTCGTAAAATCAGTATTCGATATCATTGAACCATTATTGCACCACATCTTCGATCTTTCGCTAAAATCAGGCATTGTCCCGGATAAACTAAAAATTGCTCGAGTCACCCCTATTTTTAAATCTGGAGATGATTTTGATACTAATAATTATAGACCTATATCAGTTTTACCATGTTTTTCCAAATTACTAGAACGCGTCATGTATAATAGACTTTACAATTATTTGACGGAAAACAATTTTTTATACGGTAAACAATTTGAATTTAAAAAAAACCACTCAACCGACCATGCTATAATTGAGCTAGTTAATCAAATATCTAATGCTTTTAGTAATGATTGCTTTACGCTAGGAGTTTTTATTGATCTTTCTAAAGCTTTTGATACCGTAAATCACGACATTCTTCTAAAAAAACTCGAAGTGTATGGAGTAAAAAATAATAACTTACTTTGGTTTAAAGATTATTTATCAAACCGAAAGCAATATATTCAGCATGAAACAACAAAAACAACAAATAGCGCCATAACTTGCGGGGTTCCCCAAGGCTCGATCTTGGGACCATTATTATTTTTACTCTATATAAATGATTTATGTTCAACATCAAACTTATTAAATTTAATCTTGTTTGCGGATGACTCCAATTTGTTTTATTCGCATAGAGACATTAGGACACTTTTTAACATAGTTAACAAAGAATTACATAAAATAAACGAGTGGTTTAGGTGTAACAAACTCTCTTTGAATGTCAAAAAAACCAAGTTCATCCTATTTCATAAACCAAATAAAAACGAAAATATTCCTCTTAAACTACCTGATCTTAAAATAAATAATATTAATATAAAAAGAGAAAATTTTATAGACTTTCTAGGTGTGGTCTTGGATGAAAATTAATGTATAAAGCAAAACCTTTCCTAAATATCATTTCCTTAAGAAGTTTATACTTTTCATTAATACATAGTCATCTAAGCTATGGTAACATGGCCTGGGCAAGCACAAACTGTACTAAGCTTAAAAAACTCTACAGTAAACAAAAACATGCCTGTAGAATTGTCTTCGGAGTAAGTAAAAAAGCGTCTAGTGAACCTCTCTTATGCAAACTTGGAGCATTAAATATATACAAAATTAACATACATCTTGTTTTACAGTTTATGTACAAAATAAAAAATGGACTATCTCCGCCGATATTTCAATCCTATTTTAGCGAAATAAGTCATAAATATCCTACTAGATTCTCATATAACAACTTTGTCATCCCAAAATTTACATTAAAGTTAAATTCATACTCAATCCAACACCGCGGACCATATTTGTGGAAAATTTTTCCCCAGATTGTTACTATCACAAGAAATACACTTGAACAGTTCAAATCTGAATCAAAGCGTTTTTTATTATCTTAACTTAAATTTTCTTTTTCTTTTTTAATAAAAAAATAAACTAGCACAATTTATTTCTTTTATTTGTTTTAACTTTTACTTATTCTAAATTTATTTTACTAAACGAATTTATATATAATCAGTTATATCAATTGTAAAACGTAGTTTTTCACATTTTTACATATTTTATCACAAACAATTTATCACGATTTTATATATTTTGTTGTAAAAAACGACCTGTAATGAAGTCACTATGGGGCTCGGTGATAAGACAAACTGATGTCTTCTTCTTGCTCCAGCCATTTGTTTTATTATTTATGTTATTTTATAGATTGTAACTTTCTACGGCAAAATTAAATAAATTAAAAAAAAAAAAAACTGCAAACGTAAACTGCAAGGCTAAATATAAAACAAGAACTTCGCCGATTTAGGATGACAACAGTGATATTTATTAAAAATAATAAGTATAAAGTGTTAACTTACAAATTAAATACATATTTTTTTGGAATTTAAACTAAATCTTTCAAAAGCATAGTTTTAAGTGATCTAGTACAAAAATACATTCTATTTAAAAAGGAAAAAAAAATTATTATAGTTAAATTATAGGAATTTTTTTCTTTCCCTTTGTTAAATTGAATAATCTTATTTTGCAATTTTTTTTAGTACTGTACCTTATAATTTTAGTACTGTACCTTATAACAATTTCACTAAAAACTACATTTTCGGAAGTAAAAATACAAAATAAAAAAATAACAAATAACAAATGTAAAAGTAAAAACTAAAAACAAAATCATGAAGAGGCGAAGAAGATTGGATAATTTTAAATACGAATCAACGACGAAGATCGGATGACTTTGAATAAGAATCGATGATGAAGATCGGATGATCTTGAATTGCTCAAAAAGCCAATTTGAAAACGCGTTTATGTATGTATGTATGTGTGTATTAGGGTGTGTCGATTTTTATGATAAAATGCACTTTTTTAAATTTAGAAAAAAGAGTAGTGAAAAATTAAAAATTCATAACTTTTTAAAAGGAGTGATATTTTTAAAATTTAAATAATTTTAATGCTAACTTAAAACTTTTCATTTTATTTTTACTTATTTTGGTTTTGCTAAAATAAGTACCAAAAATGCGTAACTATTGATTTCTTTCCATTTTACTTCATATTCGTACCAAAAGGAAAGCTCCGGTAAACATATTTAGTTTATTAAAGATGTCGAATAGAACAAGGAATGCATTATTTATTAAAATGAGCAATCTTGTAGTTAGGTTTGCCATATGTTAATCACTGAAAAAGAGGAGATTTTACACATTGGCGGGTTTTAGGGGAGGAGGGAGGGGGAGGGGGCATGGAGTAGCAGTCTCTCCTCCCCCACCCCCCTTAGGACTTTTTTTCAAAAAATTCTTTTGTAAATTGACTATTATACAGAATTGGACTACTATACTGACAAATGAAATTGACTATTATACGCAATTATATGTATATGAACTTGATTATTACACTAAAGTACAAAAAATAAAAAAAAACTTAAAAATAAAAATATGCCAACTTTTTTTTTGTTGACCTTTTTAGCCCCCTTCTTGGCGAGTGACATAACCCGCCCCTGATTTTACAATACGTGTTAAATGAATGAGAATTCTTATTATTAAGCAAGGCATTACCAGAGTAAAC